TTTGTCTTTTTAATAGAAAAAAGTGCTTACCAGCACTTGTTTACCAAACACTTCAACAACTTTTTTTAAGTTTCAGCACTTTTATCCAAACAGGTAACTGCTTATTTATAAAACAAGCTCCAGCACTTAAAAGCTGCTTTTAAGCCCTTGTGCTTAGAAGCCACTTTTTTTAAGCCAATCCAAACGGGCTCTTATATTGATGGAGAACCTTCGATGGAATACTTTATTGGAGTGACATCTATTAAAATAAATGGTAATGTTGTGCCAATTAACACCACATTGTTGACTATCACCAAAGATGGCAAGGGCGGAACCAAAATCAGTATCGTTGAGCCTTGCACGAAATTAGAGTCTTCGATTTACAATGCTTTTACGAAGGCATCTGTAAAATCGCTTGCTAAAGTTCCATGGATAAAACCAGTGGCTCCTTTTAAAGTGTGTTATAATAGAACGAGTTTGGGAAGTACTCGTGTTGGTCCTGGTGTTTCACCCATTGAACTGGTTTTGGGAAGCAATAAAGATGCTAAATCTTGGACTATTTTGGGGTGCGAATTCATTGGTAGCTGTGAAGAGAAAAAAAAGAAAAAGGGTATAACTAAATCCCTTGATTGAAGACACTAATAATGGATTGGGAGCCCTTTAAGGTAGATGGTATATATTTTGTAGCTAAAACGTGTTCAAGTCGGGTAAATACAAAAACTTGGACATTTTTCGTAATAAAATTTCAAATAGTGTATAAGAATGAAAAAATCCCTTTCATTTTACTACAATTATAAGAAAGATCAAAAATCAAACTAATGTTTATTTTCTATTACGGAGTATTCTTTAGACATGAAAGAGGACGAGGGAAAAAAAAAAAAAAAAAAGTTGAAGTAGCAATAGGGCTGCTTATCGGGCGGATTGGGCGGTTATTACTCTTAACGGTTTGGCTTATCGGCTTTTAAATGTATTAATCCGCTAGTCACTCGATAAGATATCGGGCGGATTGGTATCAGTTTAGCTCTTATCGGACGGTTTATCGACCTAATTCAATCAAAATAAAATAAAATTTAGTCTCTGTATGTTTAAATAAGTGATCGACGTACTAAGAGGGACGATGCAGAAGAGATACCGTAATGGGTAAATCATCTGTCTAGAATCTTGTCTATGTTTATGCACGTTGGCTTTAGTCCATGTGAAAGATTTCCAATTGGCCGTTGTTAAAACAAATGTTCGTCATGCTGACTCCTTTATTTGGCTTTCTGTTATTCTAGTTCACTTTGATTGAGTACTGGAGGAAGAACGATTATTGATTATTTAATATATATATATATATATATATATNTATATATATATATATAGATAAAAATAAATTTTATATGTATATATACATTCTTAACGGATTATCCGTTAAAAAAATTGAATAATTCACCCCCAAGCCGATAAGCCGTTAATAAAAAAAATTCAATCTGTTGCTCGTCCGTTAAACCGTTAACCCGATACCAATAAGCCATTAAGCTTCAGTTTCGATTCGGGTTTCGATTTCGATTCGGTTTTGAACACCCCTAAGTAGCGATAGTAGCGATACTGCCCGGAGGAAAAAAAAAGGAGTCAACAAAGAAGGGAGCAAAGCTTTCATTTTAATTAGATATCGGGTTATGAGTTGGATTTTAATAAATTAGGGATAGTAGAAAATAAACCAATAGGATGATGACATGTGTCCCTTCATTAAAATGAGGGGTAAATTTAGGCCAAAGTATAACAGGAGAAATATATTTGAACCCAAAATATAACAAGGAATATATTTGACTGTTTTTCAATAGTTAAGGGGTAATACTTGGCCCTTTCCCATAAAACCTTTAGGGGTCGTTTGGTATAAGGTATAAGAAGGTATAAGGGTGGTATAAAAATTTAGTACCACCTTAATACTCTGTTTGGTTAGTAAACCAGGTATAAGTTATCCCGGTGTTAGTTTTAACACTGGGATAACTTATACCTTATAAAAGGTGGAGTAACTAACACCGGTATAACTTATACCTTCTTCTTAGAAATTATGCAATTGTCATTCTTAATACAACATACCAAACAATGAATAAACAACAATCCCAGCATAACTTATCCCAATATAAGTTATACCGGCATAACTTATACCGGTATAAATCATATTCCAACCAAACGACCCCTTAGGAAAGAGAGAACATACAAGGAAGATGATAAGGCCAGCCCTCCTTCGCTGCTACAATTCAACCTGCACCCCTTTCTCGGCTACTCCATAAGCATAGGAAAATCTTGAGCAAATCAACCATGCCAAGCCTAATAAGTCTAGATAAGATGAGCAACAATGTTGCAGATCCACATTTGCAATATCAGCAACAACTCATTATGTCAAATCTAGAGCCTCATTCTATTCCGAATAGAAAACCAACTTTACTTGGTAAACAAGTTCATCAAATTCTCCCTGACGTGCATGAAGTTAAATATGAGCACACATGGTGTTCAGTAAATTTCAAGCGAAGACGAGTACCTTCCACATCACATTAATAAGTTGGTCTCCAAGTTCATTATATTCTCCATAACCTCCGTGAAGTTAAAAACGAGAATACATGGTATTCATAGAAATTTCTATGAGAATCACAATAATCATGTCTCAGCAATACTTATCGCACCAGTAACAGGGAGGAAATTAAACATAGCTGTTACATACTCATAATTGTGTATATGTAACAGCTATATATGAATACCACAGAACTTGGCAAACCTATAAGCAAATGAACAAGTGCAGCAGTGACTATTCACTTCCTGGAACTGAAATGACAAAGTCCGGATTTTCCAGCACGTAAAATCAGGCTGGACAATCCAAACAAACTTAAAACAGATATCAGAGCTGAAATTCTTCCATCATACAATTTACTACCCTTTCCTGCATTTCACACATATATGACAATACTAAACTTGATGGGTCAAGAAACCCTGAGCTGTTAAAAAATAAAAGAGAAAGAACAATAACACAGAGAATTGACAAGAATATGAAAGAATGAGAGATCTCTTCTTAATTCCTCAAGTGTGTCCTTGTAGGACTTGAAACATCCAATTATATGGGGTGCAATAATATGGAAAGTTACAAGATACATTAATGGAGTTTAATCAATACATTCATGTATAATGTCAAATGAACATCCACTTAATTAATACGCAACAAGCAATGCGTATCACAAGAGAACTATGTACTCTTTTTCCTTCACTAGGATTTTCTCCAATAAGTTTTTTCCTAACAAGGTTTTGACCAGGCATATTCTTTGTGCTATGAATTCAATGCATTCAATTAAATGGATATCCTTTTGACATTGTACATGAATATATTAAGCACCACCAATGTATCTAATAACTTTCGATAGAATTGCACCCAATATAAATGGGTGTTTCTTTTTGTTATTGTTCTTTTTTTCTTTTCCAAAAAGGTTCTTTTCTCTTTTATGTTATAGAATGACCTGTATTTATTTGCTTCCTTACAGTCATAGATGCAAGCTGCACTTATTGTTTGACATGACGCTTCTCAGAATTCTAGCCCAAATTCTAAGAAAGAGTTAATTCTTTCTATTAATCAAGGCCATAACCGTATACAAGTCATACAAAAGCAACATACCACTTTAAAGGTTATTATTGCTTGCTTGGCATTATTACTCCTGGATTTGAGCTATTTGCTGTAATCTATAACAGACACCATCCTAATAATTATCAAGGATTAGCTATGTTAGTCTGGGTTACACGATTTATAAGCAAGAAACCTTCTACTTCTCAGCAAAGTTCTCTACGATTCAAGCTGGTCAAAGCACTACTACCAAGATAAGCAGAAAATTTAGATTCGTGAATCTATGAAAAAGATAAAACTGAAAGACCCATCCAATGAGATTTAAAGTTACACTGAAAGCGAACAACCACTACCTTTCATTCTCATAGGCTCCTCGTAACAAGTTCCATGAACTGAAATCCTTTTTCATTAGAGTATATGCTTTCACATAATAATTCTTTGGCACTAACTCACCTAAAATATTGAGCTTCATGATAAAATTTGAAGCCAAACAATGTAACTTTAATCCTAGATAAAAAGATGAATGAAACTCCAATAAGGAGGACCCGAACTACCACCACTACTCTCGCAAGACAATTTGGAGTTTATCCAAATCAAGTTTTCTGGGTCCCAAAATTTATAAGATTCTTTAGAACGTGCAAAAAACGAGTATAGATTGCGTTCCATATGAATTCAGAATAGAGGTACTCTTTCACCTTCATAATTGGACCTCAACATCTACCGAAGTACAGGGAAGCAAAAAAATCATACCAGCCTCATAAAAGGAAAAAAAACGCATGTCCAGGTTCCCATACTCTGGCTATAAAGTAAATACTAATGAACAAAAAGCTACTGGTAACTCACTTTCTATAACTGAAACAACAGAATTCTCCCAGAAAAGAATGTTTCATTAGTCTTATCATCTCCAGAATCTACTGCTTCGAGAGGACATCTAGCGATTTCCTCAGCTGGCTTTGTCCTCCCTATTCATCTAATTTCTTGAATCGATATTTAGGAATTTCTCTTGTTCATAGATCTTGAAACCAAATTAACATCAATTTCTAGATATCTTTTCCGATAGATAGATCTAGAACTATACATGGACTTCATACCTAGATATAGAAGGAACGACTTTATTGTAACCAACAAAAGGCTTACTCTGTCCCTATGTTGCTATCCGACAATATACCCTGAGTAGAAGGAAATTCACTATCAGAAAACTTCAAGTCATTTACATATGTTTCCTATCATTTCTCATAGACTTACTATCTCTTCGTCAGCAATAAGCAATTCCATATAAATTTATTCTGCAAAAAACTTAACATAAAACCGAGAGTTCACACAGTCCACCTACCCAGGATTTCTAAAATTATGGAGGTCTAAGCACAAACGACAGAAGAACAAAAATGACTAAATGAACTACTATGAAACATATAATAAATTTAGTACACAATAACAAAAGGCATTAAAAGGATATATAAGCAGAAACCGTCAATAGCATGCACATCAAAAGGCATTAAAAGGAAATTTCCAAGATATCTAACATTACATCAAAATCCAAACTTTATCCATCAACCACCTTTAGATAGCATTTCCAAGATATCTAACATTACATTTAACCACTTTAATAATCCATAGACGGCATAAAGATGATCTCAAGGTAAAACGCATCTTGTAAATTGTAGATTAGCGGAGCCCTAGAAATTTTCTCACAACAGAGACATATACTTAAGAAAACATGACCTCGGTGCATTTTTCAGGATTCAGTTTCAATGGATGAGTTTTCCCCCGTGTCAGCCGAATCAGAGATAGGCTCCGATGACGGTTTACTCTCAGTCTCCGTTAAAGCGGCAGAATCATCAGCAGACGGAGCAGATCTGGACTTAACGGCGTCAAGCATGCGTTTACTGATCTCCTTCGAATAAACCTGAAGTATCTCAATGCCATCGTCATCACCTATAGCCGTGGATCCAGCGGCGGTAAAAGCCTCCTCCTCAATCAGCTTAGCAATATCGGTAGCCTCGTCGTGGGGGATAGTGCCGTACCGTTTTGAGAGTATGGACGGTGTTGATAGAGACTCGATGAGACGGCTAATGACGGCGTCACGAGTACGTTGAGTCGGTGGCCAAATGCTAAATGAAACGGTCGTCGGCTTGTTTTGGGTCTCGTGAGTAACGGTTTCTTGGGCTTGAGCTGAATCGGTTTCCGCCATTGATGGTGGTTCTGTGGTGGTGCTAGAGGTTGGGGTTTTGGGTTGTGTTGGGTCTTCTGGAACTTTCTGTTGTTGCTCGTTGTTATCTGTGTAGCTTTGTTGCTCGTCCAAGTTATCGATCATTTTGAAAGTTGGAAATTGTGATAAATTAAAAAAGGAAAAAGGAGGAGTTAATGGAGCTATTAAAGACGAAATTAAGTTACCAATAATGTTTTGCGGAGTAATGTTTTAAAAGTCGGGGGCGTGAGGCGAGGCGTTTTACCTCTGACGAGGCGAGGCGTAAGCCCTGAGACATGGGGCGTAAGTCCCACGGATCTTTAAATTTTACTAATTTCAAGAATTTTAAGATAGTATAAAATAAAAAATAATTATAAAAATTACATCAAAATCACAAAATTATAACAAATAATCTATTTAAAATATTTACAAATTATAATTCGACTATGAATAATACGAAAAGTATGACATATATCATAATATGCAAATTAGTTGCAATGTCGTTACTCGTTACAACTCAAACATCAAAAGTAATGTATACGATATGAAATCTTATATTGTATGTATCTCTTAAGGAGTAATAAATCTTGAAAGAATTTCAATATTATAATTTAATATTTTACTTAAAATACTACTTTTATTTAATATGCTTTCTATTCAAAAGAGAATTTATATAAAAACATAATTCACAATTTAAATATGATTCTCTAGCATCATCTATTTTTAAGTTTCAACAAGTTAATAAACTAACACATAATTCACCATACAATATCATGATAACTATTATATAGTAAAGACATAACAAAAGCTAATAAATAAATACTTTTGAAATGAAAGATTTATGTAACATTTACTATCATAGCAGCCTTAGCGGATAACGTGCAATAATTTTTATTTTAATTATGACATAAAATACTCTCAACTTAATGATTTATGATTAAGAAAGAAGTAATTTTGAATAGTCAACGATTCGTTAAGAAAATTTAGAGGGTTTACAAGGTTAGTTACATACAATTGCATAAAGTTCTATTAGGCGAGCCCAGTACCCTGGGCGTGTCCGGGGCGTAAGCCCCGGTGGCCGAGGCGTAAGTCTCAGGGAACTAAGCCCCACACATAAGCCCAGGGGCGTTTTACGAGTGCTCCGCCCCGGGGCGAGTCCCAATTCTGCCTTTTAAAACAGAGTTGCGGAGAAAGAGGCGACTCTCTGTGATTTTGGTGGAATTCATTGAAGATAGGTTCGTGGGCTAATTGTGGCCCGATCGATAGTGGCCCAAAATATGTTGGACCTAAAATGGTGTTTCACCACTTGAGGATAATAGTAAAAATTGCACGGGGCGTCCTATTTGGTCGCCCCATTTAACCTATACTCATATTTTTAAAATTATTTAACTTATATCTTAATTTTTACAACTTGAGGCCCCTCCTTCTTCCTGCTACCTATGCGCTCCTTTCTAACTTAATTAATGACTTTTTAGACACAAAGTACGTTTTTAATGTTTAAAAAAAAGTTACAAAAATGGGTACTTCGCAGTACTGTACTGCGAATTGGGTTAACGGAAATTTTGTCGTTAAATAAATTTGCAGTAGAGTACCGCGAAGTACTTTTTAATTTTTTTTTTATCTTTTTGCAGTATAGTACTGCGAAGTACCAAAACGCTGCGTTTAATTTATGAGTTGGGCCCAGCCTTATTTAATTAAGGCAATTCACAGTATAGTACTGTGAATTACTAATTCGCAATACTATACTGCGAATTCTTAATTAAATAAGGCCCTTCTTCTTCCTTGGACAACGACATTGAAGCCTCCATTAAAAAACAAACCTGCCTNCTTGCCCGGTTTGTTTCTCAATGCAAATCTCATATTGATGATTGGGTGTTTAAATGATCTTAGGCTCTCTTTGTGATTGATAACTAATTTTTGGCCAAATTGACCTCCCCGGTGCAATTATTATCCTAGTTAGCCCGCTGTTGAGCCTTCAATGTTTCCTTAGGTTACCATATTACAATCTGGTACCGTATTTGTGAAATTACTCCCTATTTTGAACCTATCCATCCTTGAATGTTATGAATGAGACTGTAAGCCTATGTTGGGGGTGTTGGTGGAGTCCGAAACTTAATTAATGACTTTTTAGACACAAAGTACGTTTTTAATGTTTAAAAAAAAGTTACAAAAATGGGTACTTTGCAGTACTGTACTGCGAATTGGGTTAACGGAAATTTTGCCGTTAAATCAATTCGCAGTAGAGTACTGCGAAGTATTTTTTAATTTGGTTTAATCTATTTCGCAGTATAGTACTGCGAAGTACCAAAACGCTGCGTTCAATTTATGAGTTGGGCCCAGCCTTATTTAATTAAGGCAATTCGCAATACTATACTGCGAATTGCCTTAATTAAATAAGGCCCTTCTTCTTCCTTGGACAACAACATTGAAGCCTCCATTAAAAAACAAACCTGCCTGTTTCTGGTCCCCCCCCCAACCTCCCGTCATTTTAAAAAAAAAAATTCGGCCCCACCCGTCCCATAAAGAGCAAGGAGTGTAGGTCCCACACACAAAAGAAGCTTTGGATTCCGTGTTTCGGGTGCAAAAATTCGATTTCAACAATATTCAAAAAACTTACATCGAGGTATTTCAATTTAGTTTATGCCGAAACTCGTATAGTCATGCATATTAGTATTGTTTAGTATGTTTCCATGTGAATTTATGTTATGTTTTTGTTTAATTTTGTATCTTTTATATACCCGGATTGATTTATTTGATACCCGAATTTATGTTATGTTTGTGACCAAAAATGCTACCGGATTGTTTGTGTTATATTTGATTTATATACCCGAATTTATGTTATGTTTGTGACCAAAAATGCTTAAAATTTGAGAAATAATTTGTATTCTTATGTAATTTGTATTAAAATTTGATAAATAATTTGTATTGTTAAATAATATTATTTATTTTGTTTATTTGTATTGTTAATGTTATGTTCATATTGTAGAACCTTGTAGCGTAGTAAAATATAGTGTCTTTTAGCAAAGTAAAATATAGAGCCTTTTAGCGTAGTAAAATGTAGAGCCTTTTAGCGTAGAGTCTCAGTAGCTAACAAAATTTTAAAAATGTTGAAATTGAGACGCATAATAATTAAGGATAACTCGGTGCTACCGGGCTGCAAAAATAAGGCCTGGAACCCATACATAACTATTATCTCCAATTCAAAAATTTATAATTTAATTTATTAAGTTAACAAAATTCTAAAAATGTTGAAATTGAGACGCATAATAATTAAGGATAAGACGGTGCTACCGGGCCTCAAAAATCAAGCCTGGAACCCATACATAATTATTATCTCCAATATTAAACATAATTAATTATTTAATTTATTAAGATAATAAAATTCTAAAAATGTTGATGTCGCCTGCATCAATAAGCTTTTGAATTGCATTCTTCAGATTCCAATATTTCTCTATGTCGTGTCCCAGGGCACCTTAGCAATATGCGCACTTTTGAGAAGGATCGAACTTCTTTAGAGGAGGGTTCGGCACTTTTATCTGAATCGGCTTCAACATGTCCAGTGTCCTTAACCGCTGAAACAGACTGGCGTATGATTCTCCCAACGGAGTGAAGGCTTTCTTCTTTCGTAGCCTCTCATTCTTAAATGCTGGATTGGGCCGCAAACCTGATCCAGGGTGTTTTTGGGGAACTCGTGGGGGTAGATGGGCATTATTTTGAGCTGGGTACTGTGATGTGCGACTGTGGGATTTCTGTGGGGAGAAGTAGCATCGGGGAAGGTCATCTAATGCACAAGGATAACCACGGATACGATGTCGACGCTGGAAGTTTTGATCAGGAAAACCTATCGGATCGTCTTTTCTGTTCCTCTTTCTTCCAACCAAGCTTACTGGTACGTTCTGAATGGCTTCCGAACAACTCACGATTTTGCCTGACTTGGTTCCTTCTTCCACTAGCTCCCCCATTTTTAACACATCATTGAAAGGCTTTCCCAGGGCCGGGATCAAATGACTGTAGAAGGTGGGTCCCTGGGCCTGTAGAAAAAGCTTAACCATTTCTTCTTCGCTGATCGGGGGACTGACTCGAGCGGCTTGCTCCCTCCATCTGAGCCCAAACTCATTAAAGCTTTCCTCCGGCCTCTTTTCCGTCTTAGATAGCGAGGTGTGGTCTGGGGCAACACTTGATTTGCATTGAAAGTATCGGACAAAGTCTTGAGCCATGTCACCCAATGTAAACCAGTCATCGACATTTTGACGACCATGCCAGTCCAAAGCTGCCCCGGTTAGGCTATTATTGAAATATGCCATCATCACGTCATCTTGCTCTTCAACAATCCTCATTGCATTGCAATAGACTCTCAGGTGGGCTACCGGGTCTCCACGCCCATCATACAATTTAAATTTTGGTACATTAAATCCTGCGGGCAGGCGGGCGTCATGTGGCACAATCAATTCTGTGCGAGTCATGCTACCCTGGCCTTCCACTCTTCGCTTGTCTCTTAAGGACAGTTCTATGCTTTTCAGCTTCTTGGGCGTCTCATCTCGTCCTTCCCTTCCTGTAACCTTTTCATTTCTAGCATGGGGCTCATCCCGGGAGCACTTCTTGTATGAATCAAGGACCCTGTGGGCAACCTTTGGAGGGTGAAATTGGGCATTACGCGCTTTGAGTGGGTGTTCATTATTTTGGGTAATGGATATGACAGGAGGGCAATTTTGGGGAGAGTGACTGAAGGAAGAGCGATGGAGCTACTAAGGTAGTTGGGACGAATGTGATAAGCGGGTGTATCTGGAGAATATGGAGGATCATCTGGTATTGTGTTGGGAGTTCGGGTAAGGGTAGCGTCCGGGAAAATTGGCGGTGGCGGGGGTGGCGCCTTTCCAGTCATCCAGGCTTGATACATGTCTGTCATGTGTTGTCTGAGCATCCGCACTTCAACCAACCCATTATCCTGTTCCACCAACTATTGTCGAGCACCGGTATCAACCAACTTAGTTCTCTTGTTGTTTGCAATTGCCTCTTGTCCTTGTGTTGTAAAGAAGAGTTACCACTTTCAAACCCCAAACCAACCACCTTTCTGGAATGACATGACAAAACAAAACCATCACGTTAGCGTTAGGGCATTTAACATATTGGTACCCGTACATTTGGGGAGT